TAAAATATATGGAAAATTAATGTGGGTACTCAAATGAAAGGTCTCGATGAGTGTAATATCGAAGTGAGCTTATATCTTTAAAAATGTCATTAGTTGACAAAATAACAATATTAGTTCTTAATTATTGACATTTTTAAAGATATAAGCTCATCCCGATGTTACACTCATCAAGAGCTTTCATTTGAGTACCCACATCAATTTTTTTGTATATTTTATATATTTATATATTTCACGAATACCATATATATGAAATATATGAAAAATGCCATGTGGGTACTTAAATGAAAGGTCTCGATGAGTGTAACGTCGAAGTGAGCTTATTTCTTTAAAAATGTCAATAGTTCACAAGATATAAGATCATTTCTTAATTATGTATCTAGAGATAAAGCATTTTTGAATGCAGCCTAAATATTTGTCATCATAAATTGACTTGATCCTGGACACAAAATTTTTCTTACTTTCTTAATAATATAGATTTAATTTTTTAATAAAAAAATTGTTATTAATTAAATCTAACAAATTTTTTGGTTAAAAAAAACAAGCTTCAAAAAACCTCTTTTTTTTTCTTCTAAAAAAAAAAAAACCCAAAAAAATATTTCCAAAAAACTCACCATATTTTATTTTTCCTCTTTCCCGATAAATCCAAAATATATAATATATATAAAAACGACAAAACTGACAGAAAAAAAACGTCTAAAAATAACTATTAATAAAATAAATAAACAATTGACTATTCAAAGGTGTTCTTTGATGTTTTTTATTTCATTTCATTTATTTTATTTTTTTTTATATTTTTATATTTTCCCGGTATTATACACCCGGAGACTGAGTAGAAGATCAGTAGGTTCAGCAACCTCTCCGCCTTTGGCCTTTAAAAACTACTTCAAAAAGGCTCTTTGCCGATAAAGCCGAGTTTTATTAATTCCGTAAGCCTCGAGTGTCAATAAACCCTAAAAAAAGTCTATATACGTTTTTATTCTTTCTTTCTATAATCATTTTTTTATTAATTTTTCTCTGCTATTTTGTTGTACATAATAATAAAATAATAATAATAATAATATAAACAGCAAAAATAATTTTTGTACGCGGAAATACAAAGTTGTTCTAAGTAAAAGGTTGCGTGTCGTTGATAGAAAAATTTTTATCTATATATCTGTACTGTATATATACAAGATACTTATATGTAACATATAATATAAAACACACGAATACGAAACAAGGCGGTACATATTCGTATTCGTTCGATATATTGATTGCAGTAATAAAAATATATGTCAGTGATAATATATGTTTGTGTTATAGGCACATTGTACCGTAGTAAGAATGCTCGATGATTGCGTAATTGCTAGCGCCAACATTTTTTTCGTAAATTTAAAATAACTATTCAAATTATTGATACTAGCAACCTAACAGTCACTATGTTACTGCCGTGACTTGTGAACTAAAAAAAATTAAAATTTTGCTTGATTAAATAATGACTTTTGTCAAATTGCACTGTACTTTCTTAAATATTGACATTTTTAAAGATATAAGCTCATCCCGACGTTACACTCATCAAGAGCTTTCATTTGAGTACCCACATGCGTTTTTGATATATTTTTCATATATACATATATATGATATATATAAATATATGAAATATATGAAAAATTTATGTGGGTACTCAAATGAAAGGTCTCGATGAGTGTAACATCCTATGTTACTGCCGTGACTTGTGAACTAAAAAAATTAAAATTTTGCTTGATTAAATAATGACTTTTGTCAAATTGCACTGTACTTTCTTAAATATTGACATTTTTAAAGATATAAGCTCATCCCGACGTTACACTCATCAAGAGCTTTCATTTGAGTACCCACATGCGTTTTTGATATATTTTTCATATATACATATATATGATATATATAAATATATGAAATATATGAAAAATTTATGTGGGTACTCAAATGAAAGGTCTCGATGAGTGTAATGTCCGAGTGAGCTTATTTCTTTAAAAATGTCATTATTTGACAAAATAACAAGGTAATTTCTTAATTATTGACATTTTTAAAGATATAAGCTCATCCTGATGTTATACTCATCAAGAGCTTTCATTTGAGTACCCACATGCATTTTTAATATATTTTTCATATATACCATATATATAATATATATAAATATATGAAATATATGAAAAATTGATGTGGGTATTCAAATGAAAGGTCTCGATGAGTGTAACATTGGGATGAGCTTATATCTTTAAAAATGTCAATATTTCACAAGATAAAAGGTCATTTCTTAATTATGTAGCTAAAGATAGAGTATTTTCGAATGCAGCCTAAATACTTATCATAATTAATTGACTATCGATGATAATAATATTATATAGATTATATACTATGTTATATATAGGAACTAGGTATTTTGCGTTTATAAATATACGGGTGAATTATATATCGATCTTGTGACAATTACCGAGTATAAGTTACATTGCCCTTATTCTTCATTCACGAATGACAATTTGTTTCAAAATTGACGACAAAAGTTTTAACAATGGTTAGAAACAAAGTTTGGAAACAAAATTAATTATAAAGCGGTTCGGCATCTATTTTTGATCTAGTGTAACTTGTTTCAGACGACTGATGAAATTTTAACAGAACATTGAAAGTTTTGAGATTGTTTGTAAACAAAGTTTGAATTAAAATTTTATTATTGTCAGACATTGTTCAACCAAAATTTAAAATTACCATTGTCTAGGATCAAAAATAAAAAATAATTGTTTTAAAACAAAGTTCTTCCAATTGGTTCCAAAAAACTTTGAATTGTTGGGAAACAATGTATTAAAAATCAATATTAACTCTATCAAATTTTGAATCAGAGTAAAATTATCATTGTTTTGCATCAAAAATTAGAAATTATTGGTTTAAAACAAAGCTGTTTAAATTTATTTTAATAAACTTCAAATTGCTCATAAACAATGTATCAAAATCCAACTTAGATTTGAAACCGTCATTGTTTAGGATCAAAAATTAAAAATAATTGTTTTGAAACAAAATTATTTACTCTCTTCAAAAATTAATTATAAATACTATTAAATTTTGAATAAAACCCAAAAATTTTCATTGTTCTGTTTTCAAAATATCAAAAATTATGGTTCTGAAACAAAGCTTTCAATTGTTCACCAAAAATCTCCAAATTTCGTCCAAAAATCGCAAATATCATTGTTCTACACCAAAAGCCAAAAACTCAATTGTTTCCATATATCAAACAATCCAAAATCCTCTTGAACTAAGCCTCGTACCTTTAAAATCGCATTGTTTACAAACAATCTTCCTTGTTTACCTCCCTTCTTCCAATTGGTTCCAAAAAACTTTAAATTGTTTAGAAACAATCTCTCAAAAATCAATCTTAACACTATCAAATTTTGAACCAAAGTAAAATTATCATTGTTCAGCATTAAAAATTGAAAATTATTGTCTTGAAACAAAGCTGATTGAATTTTTTCTAAGAAACTTTAAATTGTTCGTTAACAATGTATCAAATCCAATTTAAATTTGAAACTGTCATTGTTTAGGATCAAAAATCCTATCTTTGTTTTGAAACAAAGTTATTCTTTTCTCTTCAAAGATTAATTATAAAAACCATAAAATTTTGAATAAACCCAAAAAATTTCATTGTTTATTATCAAAATATCAAAAATTATTTTTCTGAAACAAAGCTTTCACCAAAAATCTCCAAATTTCGTCCAAAAATCGCAAATATTATTGTTCTACACCAAAAGCCAAAAACTCGATTGTTTCCATATATCAAACAATCCAAAATCCTCTTGAATTAACCCTCGCACCTCCAAAACCGCATTGTTTACAAACAATCTTCCTTGTTTACCTCCCTAAAATGCCATTACCCCCACCCTTAAACAAAGCTTGCTAGAAAAAAACCGTGAATCAAACTACAACATAAAATGATATCGATGTAATCTAAAAATTTCCAATTTAAAACAAAATAATTGTTTTGCAACTAGGCCGACAGCTTGTCATTTTCCCAGAGTCCAACAACCTACACCTACACCTACACCAACTGGATTTTCCCGAACAATACCTGAAAAAATACAACCAACAATAATAACAATCTATCGATAACTACCGTGTTCAATACTAACCGCCTCAACACAGCCACGGAAAAGGGTGTAGTGGGTGGACGTTCTCGCCCGAAGACACCCGAACCGGAATACCTATACCTCCAGCTTCCCCCTCTCCAACCAATATATATATCTATACATATATCGAGCTGGAATTAAAAGGGGAAGGGTGGGACGGCTGCGACTGCGCATATCCAGATTTAACACTAAAATTCTCCCTCGGTCTTTTTCTTTCACTCGGCAATCTTTCACTGTCCTTTTTTACCAAACGTCGGCTTCTAGCTGTATATATCTTCGCGATTGTATAGCCACTATAGCCTCTCGGTTGGATTTTCGCCGACGCATTAGCAGCGTGCTACTCACTTAAGCAACGTCGCGTATTTATATTGTTTAATTATTAATTATTAATTAAGATATTTCAAAATTTTAATTATATGTGATGATTTTGGATTTTTTTTAAGCTCAAAAAAAGCTTTGTGAAAAGTGAGTGAGCGTGATTTGGTGACTGGGCTTTTTATTTGGATTAATTCGGTGGAAAAAATTGAGGGAAATTTTGAATAATTTTTGATTAATTTCTTGAAATGAGGTGAGTTAAATTTTGAATTTTTTTTGGGTAAGGTTTGGATAAATTTAAGAGAGAATTATTATTAAGTTTAAATAAAGAGGGCGAGGGTAGAGAGGTCCAAGGGAAAGGAGATGGGTTCTGAGGAAAGAGAGGGTACAGGCTACGAACAACACCTGCTCTTTGGGTATGCGCCTGCGACCCTTTATATATATGTGGATGGTTTTTACGAGCTCAACAATCTCAAGTCCGAGGTTTATTTTACCGTTTAGGTTTGGATTTTTAGTTTTTTTTTATTGGAATATTCAATGGGTTTAATTGCTGGGTGAGAATTTTTTTTTTTTGGGTTTTGAGGAAAATTTTGTGGGTTTTTTTGGGAATTTTGGACGGATTAGATGATAAGTGGAGATTCGAAATTTTGAATTTTTTTTTGGACAAGATTTTGAAATTTTTTTACTAAAAAAATTTTTTTTTGAGATTTTTAGTGAAAATTTTGAGTTTTAAGTATTTAGGTGAAATTTTGACACATTTTTAAGTGATGAAATTTTGAGTTTTTTATTTAGAAGAAAATTTTTAATATTTTGTACTTAAAAAAGTTTTAATTTGGGATTTTTAGTAAAAATTTTGAATTTTAAGTATTTAGGTGAACATTTGTAAATTTTGGAAAATTTTTTATATTGATAAAATTTTGGTTTTTTTATTCAAAAAAAAATTTTGAAAATTTCTTACTGAAAAATAATTTTTGTTGGGGTTTTTTAGTAAAAATTTTGAATTTTTAGGATTTAAATGCAATTTTGGAAAATTTTTTATTGATAAAATTTTGAATTTTTTATTTAGAAGAAAATTTTGAAAATTTCTTACTTAAAAAAAATTTTATACGGGGTTTTTAGTAAAAATTTTGAATTTTTAGTATTTAGAAGAAATTTTGGAACATTTTTCATTGATAAAATTTTGAGTTTTATTTTAAGAAGAAAATTTTGATTATTTTTTACTAAAAGAAATTTGAAGTTTAGGAATTTTAATAAAAACTTTTAATTTTGAGCATTAAGATGAAATTTTGGAAAATTTTTTATTGATAAAATTTTGATTTATTTATTTAAAAAAAAATTTTGAAAATTTCTTACTTCAAAATTTTTAATTGAGATTTTTAGTCAAAATTAAAAATTTTGAATGTTTAGATAAAATTTTGGAAAAAAAAAAAAATATTTTTCTTAACTTAAAAAATAAATTTTTTATATTTCGTAATAAAAAATTTAATTTAAAATTTTTGAATTTTGCCTAAAATTTTCTGCAGTCTGTGATAATATTAAAAAATAATT